AAGAAATTTCTTCTTCTCCTTTTCGTTCAACATTTTACAAAAACATTTATCGTTCCTATTGCACAGAACACAAGCAACATGTCGAAACATCGAAAGCGTTCGATCGTTCCGACAAGTTTCTCGATTTAGTTGAAGAATCAAGGTATTCGTTCCAGAATTCCGCCTGATCAGAACCATTTTAATCGCGATCCGTTTTAACTAGTCTGTCCTGGACAGTGACAAAAACGAAACAAAAAAAGTAAAAAAAGAAAAAGTTAACAAAACAATTGTCCGGCGAATTTCCAAACCATGGAGAAAAAAACGATTAACTGTCGAAGCGACAGAAAATGAAAGGAACAACAGTGTATTAGAAAGAAACAAAAAAGAAAAAGGAAGAGAGAAAGAAAGAAAAGGAGAAAGAGAAAGAGAAACAGAAAAGAAAGAAGATACAAAAAAGAGAAGACAGAGAGCAGATTAGCAGGAGATATATTGTGTGAACAGAATGTAGATCATTTTATTGTTGACTTACTATGATTAATGCCGGACTCGGTGTCTAGGTGTGTCGTGGCCGTCGAAAGTCAGCACCGGGAATAAAAGAATGTGCAAAGTTAAATTCACGAATCCCAAACTTTCATTCCAAGGTGATAATTCTTTACAATTGTTCTCGTTCAAGCTTCCCTTTCGCACCAGTGTTGAGATATACAAGGATACCATTTAACGGGTTAACCGTGAAAGGATTTATGCGTTGACTCGACGAAAAATCGAGTCGAGGCGATCGGAAACATTCCCAGTGATCCCTTGAGAGACTTTCGTTCGCTTCGAATGCTTGAAATCTTACTCGTAAGGTTAAATCGAATATTCAATGGGACTTCCATGTTGGCGAACGCATTGTTCGGCTCTGTGAATAACACTTTTCATCGTCGTGGGCTATTCGCAGGGATCACGAACAAGTTTATCCGTCCCATTGCATTCGGTTGCTCGTGAATAATGGCAACTAGAATTTTACAATCCTTTTGATTGGATGAATCATGTTTCAATAATAATGGGTTCGATGCAATAATATGTTCAGTGATAATAATTCTACTGATAATTATAATGGTAGATAACGATGGATAATAGTTAATAATAGACTGACGATTTTATGAATTAGTTTCGTTACGAGGAATAGAAGAATTGTTTTATTTTTCATTTCTTGTGGGTACTTATTGTTTACGAGAGAAATGCTGACTGGAAATTATGTGAACACCCTGTATATAGAGTATGAGAATGGCGCGTCTGTGCAGGTTTAAATAAGCCTCCAGGCGCCATCGCTGATCGCGCACATTGCTAAAGAGACGCGGATCTGTTTCGAATATGAATTTCGTGTACTCATTTTACATGAAATTTTCTTTGATGAAGAACGACGTAAAGAGAATTTAGGTGAGTTGATTGATTATTTATTTCTACATTAAAATTAATAGTATATACTGACAGTAATAATAATAATGTATTGCATTATAAAAAAATTATAATATTATATAATATTAGGTTATCCCATAAGTAACACGGGTTTTTACATTTCTTTTAGTTTTCAAAATAAAGATAAACCCAAACAGTCCAGTTTTCTGAAAATTGCCCCGAAACATTAGATTAGCGAAAGAATAATATTGGCGTATTTCTTTTTAAGAAAGTTGGAAGATCAATTTTGATAGATTAAATTAGATTTTATTAAGCTATGTAGTGTCAATTTTATTCCACAACTATTCCAATTTTCTGCTATCTTCTGGTGTATTGGTTTATGACATTTATTCGTGCATTATAATACCGACGCCACATTGAAAAGAAAAACAAGAGTCCGCGACCGATCTCCGTATCACTGACTTTTGAGAATCAAATAAACCATCTGGCAAGGACTTAACCAGTTAACTGCGTTTGACGAGTATACACGTCATTTTAAAGCTTGAAATGATACTAATTCTTTCAACGATGAACTCTTTCTTTTTTCAGATAAACATGTAATTTTAGTTTTTTATTATAATATACCATAGGTGTATTCTTTCTGTGTTTGACGAGTACAGCTTTCATTTTTTGATTTTATTTCGCGCAAAACGAGAGATTTTTCAAACTAAATTCCACAGTTAATAGGTTAAGTGGAAAGATTAACCGATAGAATCTTATCAAATAATATAATATAACGTAATATTATTATAAAAAAAAAAATACTCGAAATTCCTGTGACGGTCAACGCGTCGATTCGAAGTCTCCGCCATGTGTCTGACTCGTCGTTACAAGGCAAGGATACCGATACGCTGTTTTTCCTGCAAGAATCCCGCGATGAGTAATGGTCGCGAAGAGTCGCTCCCATCGACTTAACGCATATTAATTAATTCCCCGGATCGAAACGCGTTACGCACGTTGCGAAACTTGTGGCAAGCGACTCTCGTTTCAATAATTTCGCGTTTCGAGGAGCCGAGACCGTGCTCGGGGACGTCGAATTATGAAACGCGCGCGAAGAGGGAACACGGCGGCGGCAATTTTTTCCTATATAAGAACAGAAGTTTTCAAAGCGTAATGGTGAGTCAGAACGGCTCGGACGGGAATGACTCAAACCCGAGAGTTAGACCGATAAGTGGATCGTTTCACTGAAAAAGGAAAGATCCTTCGAGAGCCAGTGATCTACGATGGCCTATCGTGATCTGTCGCGATCAAAGAACAGACTTCACAGTGCACAACGATCGATTTCATAAACGGTTCGCGGTTGCTATATTGCGAGACTTTTCGTTTACGTAATCCCGTATTCCCCTTCCGAAATTGGACGAAAAGATAACAGAAAAAAGATGAGTTCGGAATTGTTAATTATCTCGGTAAGGAATCTTGCGTTTTTTTTTAATTTACATTTTGATTACCTTTTTAATATTTCATTTACGCGATCTTATTGTTCCCTTTTAAAATGAACGGAAAGAAAAAAAATATATTCGACATTTTTTAGTATCCTTGTACGGATTCTTACATTTTTTCGATTATTTCGTTTACCTAATCTCGTTTTCTCTTTTCAAAATGGACGAAAAGAAAAAAGAGAAACACGAGTTTCGAATTTTTTTGCATCTCAGTGAGAAGTTTTATTCTTTTTTTGTATTTTATTTACGTAATCACATTTTTCTCTTCCAAAATCGGCGAAGAAAAGAAAGATAAGTGTGAAATTCTCGAGTATCTCGGTAAAGAACCTTACGTCTTTCTCGACTACTTCTTTTTACATGAAAACGAGAAAACGGGTTTTGCCAAGTTAATGGATTGACCAGATGACATTAAAAAAAGAAAATCATTGCTCGAATAAAATTCTTTTATTACGGGTAATAAATTTGATTATTTTATTCGCGACGGTTAAAAAGCTTACGATAACTTTTGCCTCTGAATTATTCCGTTATCCGCTCTTATTATTATCCACGAAAACTTTGGGCTCTTTAGCTTCAGTTACGTACAAGGTGTCTCAGCGGAACCCGATCGTTCTAACGTGTTTTAGCATGTACCGTCGATAGTACACAGCTAATTTATAATATTAAAATAAATCAATGTTAATAAGCGAATCATTTATCCAATGATTTATTAACATTTACTCGGAATTAGCAATTGAAGTCAGAGAAAAGTAAACACGTGACAAAAAAATGCACTCCATTTTTGCAAACATTATTATTACTGCGATCTATGATTAAACATACAAAAACATTTCCCAACTTGAATGTATTAAACCGTTAAATATTTTAAACGTAATTTGAATATTTTCGAAGAAAGAAGATAATTCAAATTTTCCTCGAAATTGTTATTTTTATTAAGTTTCTAAAGTCATTCGTTTCCTTTTTATAAATTTTTCATAAATCTGATACATTGCGTTTTTACGGCGAACATTAAAATGGATTCAAGCACGAGTTACGAATCTATAGTGTTATGATTGCAATTAGATCTCATTAAATTCTATTAAAACCGTTAAGACAAGATAGAAACGTGCTGTTTACGCGAGTAAATATTCAAAATGGCGGTCACCAGCTGTGTTACATTGTACGAAACGAGCAATCAAGGATCGCGGTGTGCTCTTCCCACTATTTCCCGCGTAATGACAGCACACAATTTAATTATTCGATTCATCGCGCCTTCTGGCGTAGTAAGAGATTCATTGCCAGTCGTTTCGTGACGTCGATATCAAAGAAACTCTGTTGCATTTGGTTATTTCACTACTTTTTATTGCTTTCATTTCTCTTTTAACCCTTGCGGACGAGAATTTTTCAAACATTGAAAAATGTTTTTCATAAAAATTCAATTATATATCGAAATCTTAAATATCAGGAAAGAAGAAGACTACGTATGAATCTCTCATTATTTGAATAATTGAATTATTCATTCTTAGCTATCTAGATTTTGGATTTGACAGCTCCAAGTTGTTATTAGAACGACATTCGACCTGGAGAGGTTAATATATCATTCCGCGACGTGTTATCAAAGAGGAAGAATATGGAGGGAAAAAGGGATTATTTATCTACCTCTTTTATACGTTTCAATTCTTTTTATGGTTAATAGAGTAATACGATAAAAGTTATAGATAACAATTGCGGAAAGAGACATAGTGGTAAACCGCAAAGGAATATAGAGCGAGTCGCCTAAAGCGGAAACAAAAGATGTAATCGTTTAAAGAATACAACCAATTCCAAAAGAAAAAAAAATATTTCTCGTAAAATTTGTCATTTTTAACTGAATATTTATTTCCTTGCAAAATTATTTGTATCAAGTTTATAATGAACATTTCATTTTGAATTTAATAAATGAATATTGTTTAATTTATAAATGTTCAACCTTTATAGTAAATTAATGATTATAGTAACTATACAATTATTTAAAAAGCTACTTTGAAATTATTGAGAATAAGCTGACTCTTGTCACAGCTCGATTAAAAATAAAATCGCGAGGCTTGGAGTGGAAAACAACGGACACATTATAGGTTCTGGTCTTAGAAGGTCCACCCTATATACAAGGAAACGGAAAACAGTATTGTATGCTAAGAAGAAGAGAGGATGGAGGCTTGATAGTGGAAAGCACGAAGTTCTGGACTATGTTGTACGCGGATGACGTTGCGCTGATAGTACCGAGGGTAAATGAGGGAAACGATACAAAGACTTGATAGATATTTACAGTCTCTCTAGTAAGTACGTGTATACGGCAAAATTTTTATCTACATTCTGATATAATATAAATTCGGGAAAAGTTACATTATTGTTCGGATTATTATGAACTTGTTAAAGAGTACTTGGTATTTAATATTTAGTATTTGGTATTTATTTTTAGTATTTAATACTTAGTATTTGATATTCATTTTTAGTATTTAATATTTAGTATTTAGTATTCGGTATTTCGTATTTAGTATTTAGTATTCAGTATTAAAATCTGTAAGTATTTGTATATAAAAGTATTTGTACCTCTCGCTTTTAAATTGTGTAAATTTATGCATTTACTACGTTTCCCAACTTACATCATTTTCAAAAACATGTTTCAGTTATAACATACCATACACATATTGTAATAGGAATGATTAAACCTCTAACATGAAGAATAAAATTCTAACTAATGTATATATCTTAATTCGTTCAATCACACAGATGCAATGAAGAGCTCATAAAATTTTACTTTTTACATTAAAAATAATTTTCACGTCTACTCTCTCTACCACACGAATTTCATTTAAGAAAAAATAATGACTTGCAACAGATACTTACTCATGCACAAACTATGTTACATCTAATTTATCTCAAGTCGCTCCTTTGTTTCCTGTCCACAACTAACGAGGTTCATACGCCTACTATCAACAATAATTTGAATAATTCGGACACCTTGGGAAGGACAATCGAATCTGCTATTTCGTATATGAAATAAATTCTGTTTACCGTACTACAAAAATTTAAAAAAAATTTCTTGTCCCTTGTAATATACGGATGATTTAAAACGTAGACCAAAATATTTTTAACCGTGAGCTCGTATGAAATACATACAGGCACAAATATTCGTACATTTCTCGTCGTTACCAAGAAATTTCAGTTACCTTCTTGTTGAGTAAGCATGTAATTTCAGCCTTTCGAATGAACGGTGTGTGTACAGGAAGGGAAATCGGTGCGAAGAAAAGTGTCTGAATAATGATTAAGAAAATAAAGTATACATGGTAACTATTGGAACTACAGTAAAGGGCACTGTAAAAAAATTGTATACTACGCTATTATGTACAATTTGACGAACTAAAATACACTTCTTACTTCGTATTCGAATATTGTATCTCTTGGATGCTACGATTGATTTAAGAGAAATAGTCCCACTATAGTAAAATTCGAATTAAATTGCGTTCGAAGGAAGAAATAGAGAAAAAGAGAGAGAAACGGATGCATTTGATTAATTATTAACTTACCGCATTGGATTTTGGCTTTGAAGCAGCAACGTACGCCAAGTATTGGATCACTTTCTTCGTGTTCTCGGTTTTGCCCGCGCCAGACTCACCGGTGCATAAAATCGACTGGTCCTCGCGATCTGTTAACAGAGTTATCAAAGAAATAATATCAATGTGTCTGCCTGTATTATGATTACGTAGGGCTGAATAATTTTAGTCAAAAATTTCATTTGAAATTGTATTTGTATCTAAAGATTTTATTTAAAGTTGTATTTGAAAGCAAAACATATTTGAATTTAAACACTATATTTCAAACGGTATTTGAAACATAGATGAATTTAAAAATTATGTTTGAAAGCAGAACATATTTATATTTGAAACTAATATTTATTAATACTATATCTATCAGACTCGAATGTTTCTGCAGCTTAGAATCAATTTATTTGTCTATTGTCTTGTATTTAACTATCATGATGCATTAACTCTTACAAACACTATCTATATTATTTCTTATTGTGCTTCACATTAAATAAAAATTTACAATGCCACGGTAACATTTAATAAGATATAATCATTCAACGCACTACGAAAACAATAAACAAAAAGGATAAAGCAGCCAGTTATCGGTCACATATTCAATTCTAACAAACAACTGCAAACACTTACGAAGCAGCGTGCACAAATAAAGAAATAAAGTCGATCGATGAATTAACAAATAGTAAAAAAATTATTTCGTGAACAAATACCCTCGACAGCCAATTGAATTGATCAATGAACGAACAAATAGACGAGCCAATTACCTTGGAGCATGGAACGATATGCAGTGTCTGTGATGGCGAAAACATGAGGTGGAACCTCGTGTCTTTTTATACCCTTGTACCTCTCCATTATCTTTTCCGTGTAAATTGACAGCCTCTTGTATGGATTTACCACCACGCAGAACAGCCCTGAATATGTCTGGAATTACACAAGCAAAGCCCATAAACAATTAAATCACAACAACAGAACTAAGAATAAAGAAGAAAATGGACAGCAGAAATTTTGAAATTTTTTAAAGATAACTGGTCTATGGAAATTTATTATTATATCATGAATTTTTATGCAAAATCAAAATCTCTTGAGTTAATTGAAGCAAACAGGAATTAAATAGAAATTAATTTCTATTCTTCGTAATTTTAATAAGCTAAAAATAAAGCATTTTTTCTCGCATTTCTTCAAGCAAATTTTTGTAATTGTAAAGAATTGCTTTTTTTTAGCACATTTATTTGTTTTATTCAGTTATTATTTTCGCTTAAAAAATGTTTGAAAGATTACTTTATAGAAAAACAAAAGTAAACGTTGAAATCCACAAATAAAATAATGCGATACGGCAACCAGTCGTAACTGGTTCATCAAGAAGTTTGTATAATTGATTCGCTTTTTGATTAACACTGCAGTGATAGGAACAAGGATACTTAGCACGCATTAGTTAGATTGTCGATTGCAACAAAATTGTGTAATAATTCGATAATGTTACAATACGGCGTAACAGAATAAATAATACAGAAACAAATTACGGAAAACTAACTAAATGTTACTCGAAATTGTTCAGTTCTAAAATTATTCCAAAAACTATTTTTTCATCTGAAAATTAACTATCTTAATAATAATTTTCTTGTATAATTACAAATTACAGTTAATTAGCAACATATTTAAATATCTCAGATTTCTGTTGTACTGTTTTAGTATCATTATAGATTTAAGCAAATCGTTAAACTAAGATTTAGACCAATATCTGAAAATATTCGTTGATTTCGTATATCATACTTCTGAACAATATAATTTACGAGTTAACCGCAGAGGAGAGATAAAAGCGTGAATCACCATTCAAGAAAGATGAGCAAGCGGATCGGTTTACATTTTACACAAATTCATGACGGCGTGTAACCGTGAAAATATGTCGCCTAGAAAGCGCCAAGAAGATTCTGTACAATTTTCCTATGGTTCATCAAAATTACACTGTCCTTTCTCATCGATTTCAATTTCCTATACTTTTTTCATCTCCATCGACCACGAATAAATTAAATTGGATCACGAATAAAAAAAAACACCAAATAATATTCGACTATATTAATCAAACTTGAGAAAGAGAACAGAAATAAAGAATATTAAATTTATTATATAAAATTACAAGATTTTCAGGTGTTCAGTAACTTTCTATGCAAATTGAACCATAAATTTTTGTTATGCAGAGCATTCTTTATGCTGCGATGAGAACAGAAATAATAACCAAAAGGTTAATATTGAAGGAAATTAAATAAAATGATCTTCGAAACTTAAATTTAAAATGTCAAATTCCATTTTCTTATACATGTCTATTGTTAAGATAATTCTTTGAAATATATCTTTCATCTTCTTTAGATTTTAATCGTTCACGGTGGATGATTTGGTAAAAGTAAATAATCGCACGGAAAGGGTTTCCGCGAAACAAAAATGTTGCAATAATACTCCGCGCGATAGCAATAGTACCGGTAGTCGCTTGATAAAAGGTTAAATAACTCTTGTTCGTTCCAGTACCAGTGATAAGGGGATAAAGGCAGCAGGTTTACGGTATGTTCACTGAAATAATAAACCGATGACCTAATAATCGCTGACAATAATCTTATTGTCACGCAACGTGGACCTTGTATTGTCAACGGCAGACATCGTCGTAACGATATATCTTGAAATTCCTAGCGTTAACAATAAGCGAATTGGAAAATCTACTGAAAGTATTAAAATTAACAAAACACTTGGCCCTTCTGAAAAAATGTATATTAAAACTCGAAACACAAAAACGTTGATATCAAGAATATAAACTTACACTTTCAAAAATTTAAAGAAAAATATTTTTTTTCATATTTTACATTCAATCTTTCTTCCACTTAAAAGTTTGATTCGCGTACTAATTAATAAACTAATATTGAAGATAGAAACTAAAAGGATTTAAATCTCCTTTCATGTTCTTAAATATTTTCTTTTACACTTTATGTGCAAAATAATTGTCAAAAACAATTTCATGTACACATTATCCAAATTCATTCGAATGGAACAACTAAGTGAACTATTTTTTTAAAATTTGGATTAATTGAACATTTGTGAGTTTCACACTGTTTACGAGAGTACATTTAAGTATGATCTGTGAAAGGTAATTTTTTTCGCTGATTCGATTCGCTGACTCTTCCTCTCTCCCCAGTTTTTTAAACAATACCGACGAACGAAACTGAAGACGTAAAAAATTTCAATGTAAAGTAGTGATCCGCAGCTATTTTGTTCCTTTTTTTTAAACAGAACTCTCTCCTCGAAGGGACTCCAAAACCGGTCTCCGTGAGTGTTGTGTCGTCGACCTGCCTAACATTCCTGCTTATAGAGCTTACTAACAATCACTGACTCCAACTCCCTCTTAAGGAAGACTGCATCTTTCTCGTGGCTCTGTTGGCCATGAAAAAGTGATAGCATTATTCACCGAGGTGGTATTCTGTATTGGAAACTCACGAAAATTGATTCGTTCTTGTTAGATACTTTCAATACGAGGTCCTGAGAAACGTGTCTCAAAGTTTTAGTCAAAATTCTATAGAATAAAGGTGATTCATAAATGATGATCCCGTATACTTCAGAATTCAATTAAAAATCATCATGAAAGAAATAGATAAAATTTAGTATAAAAAATAAGAACAAATGAACGTCATACGATAAATTGTTTATGGCAAGAAAATTATATTACAAATAATAAAATAATGACATATTAAAAATGAATTTATAGCGTTTAAAATATTATAGATAAAATATTAAATAAAGGAAAAATGAATTTACAAGTTTTTAAATTCAGTAAAATACTTCAATATTTTCAATTTTTTTCAAGAAATTCATTTAAGAATTTGAATCATTTCGTCATTTCAAAATACGGCCACGTAAAAATGACTTTGTTATCAAATCCTAGATGACTATTGTTGAATAAAAGATACTCAATATTAACGACCTTCAATTAATAGCAATGACTCCGCGGTAATTGAAATCATGCACACGTGTATATAACAACATTCTCGAACCTCGAAGCATTTCTGCAACCACGGTCAAGTAAATAAATATTAATACCATTGTTCATATATTTTGTAATGGTTATCAACTTCTCTAGTTATTGACCGTTAAACTTGCTTACACGCACGCATATTTTAGCTAATGATAACAGATCGCAATGCGTAATTTTCTGCTCAATTAAGGCGGCTCTGAATTGCACACGTCCAATCAGGATACATGATAATAGGAGCGGAGGGATGGATAATCACGATGTTAATTTATGAAATTTCCACCGTTCCGCGACAATTTTAACGGGAAAAACGATGATGCATCGCGTTACTTTCTATTTCACAAAACTTCGTGACGTCACGAAGATTCTTGGCGAGCAGTTTCACCTCTCATCGAGAAAATACTCGAGCGATTTGATTCTATCGAGCGGAAACGAATCATGAAGGTTCTGCTCGGACGCTGCAATCTTGTTCGGTTTCAAACACTTCGAACGAGAAAAGTTAAAATGTATGAAGATACAAAATAATTTTAATCGATATCGCAACTGTTTCTTGCTTAGTTTTGTTAAATGAATAGTATTCTATTTAAGAATTGTATGTGAAGGATTGATGAAAAAGCGGTTAGATATCTATATAGTTTTCAAATCTGAATGATTCTCAAACTGAAAATGAAACTACAGCATGGTAAAAGAGAAAAGTGAAAAATTTCTATCAAATTTATCTTCAACGCTACCACAATGTGGATTCGTTTTGCGCAAACGAAAATAGCATACATAGTGTTGGTACAAAAAAAAAATATTGAAAAGAAAAGCTAGTACAAACTTTACAAATACATATTTGTTTCGCATACCTTAATAAAAATAATAATAACGGCGTTCCAGAAATTAAAAATAAATTTTCTATGGTATAACTAAATTCAGATCACGTGTAAACAGTGCCTCGTAAATAATGTTCCAATTTAGCGCGTAAATGGAAAACTTGTGTAAAAGAAAGTGCCGCGTAAATTGAGGGCCGAGTATAGGATAACGGCATCTAATATGGAACATCACAATATTTCAGAAAACGAATAGCTTGATAATATCAGTTGCCGTGGGAAACACTTCATTAGTAATAAAAAGCAATCATATTAATAGTTAGACATCAATTAAGAATTTATCATTGAATGCGAAGCATGACTGTGTTTAATAGAACGCTACATTTTCTGAAAGACGAATTAAATAGTCAAATTCCTTAATATAGATAGGCCAACAAATTTTATTTTTCCATCATTTATCATTGAACATGTTTGTTTTGCACAATTCAAAAGCAATTTGCTGCAAATTTATTTTCTTCTTAGAATATAGAATATAGAACACGTATTTCTTAATGTTACATATTATTATGTAATATTTTTATTTTGATGTTTGACGAAATTAAAATTTTTCCATTGTTATCGATCAATCTATGAATTCATTTCTTCGCATTTTGATGCAGGTTACATCGAAAAAAAATACATATCTCTCGTTCTGGGAAGCTTTCCAAATCAGTTGTACCATATTAGGCGCCATTACTTACACGTAGAACCAAAAGAATTATCATCGAAATGAAAGGAAATATAAAAAAAGTACTGTTATATACTCGAGCGTCTTAATCACGGGACTTCCCTTAAAGATTTCGAGCACGTACCAGGCCGCTTATGAGTAACCTAACGTCGTCGAACTAGGTGAATCACCCTGGACATTTGAGTCATTTCACGCAGGACATTTTCGTAAACCGTTGAATAAAGAAGGGGAACGACGGGGGGAAAAAAGGAGGAAAAGAAAAAGTAAAAAGGAAGTTTGACCGAGCAAGGGAAGATGAAGGAAAAGGGAGGAGGAGGGAGGAGGAAGGAGGAAGGAGGAGGAAGGAGGAGGAAGGAGGAGATGAGAACACGGG